AATCTAAAGATAAACATTCTAAGAAAAAATAAAATGAATGATTGCCACACAAATGTGTGTATTTCCATGTGTGCAGTGGACACTATTGTAACACTATTGTAATAAATACATCTATTTATACTTTTAGTTCTCTGTGTGGCTGTAAAACCATTGCAAATAATAATTAAACCCCTCTGAAAATTGATTAATAATTATTAAACAAATCATCATTATTGCATCTTTAACTAATTAATTAATATTCTTAATTTAAATTTAAATTTGTGTATTGTTCAGCCCTTACATCTTAGAATTAGGTTCTTCTCTCTCTTTCTCTTCATGCTGCCAATGCTTTGGACAGAGCCTTGTCCCCTGCTTTTCTCCTCTTCTCCTCACTGGAGCCACTTAAAAGCCCTTTTCCAATAGCAGTGCCAGAAAAGGACGCTGCTGAGAAAGCCACAGTGTCGCACTGGATTCAATGGTATTAGCTTAAAAAACGTGATGTGCGTGTGTGTGTTTGTGTATGGATGTTTCATTTCATTGGATGATAGCAGCTTGGCCTGAGGATCTCAGGTTGTTATGTGTCACAGAGATGCTTTGTTGAGGCACTGTTAAGACCATTTAAACACTAGCCCAGACTCAAGAGATCAATAGTGTGGGAACAACATGTTTCCACATCTGAGATTGTAGTGATTTTCACCTCCAAAGACTGAGCAATGATGACATTTCCTTTCAAAGTGAAGCCAGCGAGACTGGCTGCTTGTACTGCAGACAGCAGACATGTTAAGGATTAAAACAGCCCACTAGAATATTTATCAATAATTCTGAGAGTTAATACACTTTTTACAGATGTTAGGGCCTAATGGGGGGATCACTTCTCTATTATTGCTTGTCAGAGAATGTTTTACTAATAAGTAGTTTAATCACCATTAGCCTAGCCTAGCCATTCATACATTTGTCCACATTCTAATGTAAAATTGTCAAGATATAGTTGGGAGACTCACTGATAAATGAAGTCATAAATGTGACAGTGGGGCTTATCATAGTTTTGTGTTCAAGTCATCCACTCCTAGTTACACTAGTCCTAACTGATCCTTTATTTGTGTCCTGCAGAGGGAACCAGACCAGGAGGAGCAGTCCGAAGCCAACATGCCCCCCAAATTTAAGCGACACCTCAATGATGACGAGGTCACAGGATCGATTCGTAGTGAGAGAGTGAGTCTGAACTATGGTTTTTTTAGTGGGTTATCAAGGTGGTATATGACAAGAAACAGTGACCTGAAATGTCTGTAAAAAAATGAAAACAGGCAAAATGATTGTGTGAGAAAATAAGGTGAGGAGGAGAATATAAAAGAGACATTGAGATTCAGGCAGGGTTAGCCAACCATTCCTCGTGTGGCCAGAGATCTGGTCTCAATCAAACTGATCCTCCTCTTCCACCCATCATTCCAGCTTGGCCTCTTGCTTATCCTGTACTTCATTGAGTCTCAAGGTTTCCTGTGTAATCATGTTTGTTTTTGTCTTGAAGTGGGATCAAAGTTAATCTTTCAGAGAGAACAGAACAAATACCACCACCTTTCATTCTTCCCCTTCTCTACCTCCTGTCCTCTGATAATAGCTACCAGCCTTTAATGTTTCCCTCACACACAGTGTGGAAAAAAGTAAAGTGGTTGTAGAAAAGGAGACTGTTGTTGCTTAAGCATATAAAAATTTTATGGTCATGGGCCTGCTCTCTCTTCAGCATTTTTGCAGATGGCACGGTCTCAACAAGAAAATAAATGTCCACACTGACAGGGAATAACCTGGCGACTTACACAGTACATGCTGTACCTTAGAGGACTCCTTTAAAGTGGCACAGAGGGTGTGTACTAGTTGACTACCATAAACGTCATCCAAATATAATGTTACAGCATAGTGTTACTGCATTGTATTTGAAAAATACACACAAGGGTGTCATCACGTGATGATAAATATAATCAAGTTACTGAAACCTAATATTTTCAGTAACTTTGAGTTTTCTAGTATAGTAGTAGTAGTTTTAGTATGTAATCATAAAATCAGGCCTTTTGTGAGAATTTTTGGATATTCAGCACACTGAATGTCAATGTCCAAATGAGACATTTACTGTAGAAGTCTGAGTCAGTCTGAGTCTCAGTCATAAGAACATTAGTATATTGATTTTAGGCAAACAGGGCCAAAGACATTTACTGTTAGTCGCTGATTCATAAGTCCTCTATAATGGTGGTGATAATATACGAACACCTAAGTGAAGAAAATAATGTTAAACCCAAGATCCACCATAGGCAGTTTAATGATTTTCATGATTCCCTCTGAACAGGTAGAAGGGAATGTAAGATAAATGTACTGACTAAATACTGCTTCTGATGTCATGTGGTACTCTAAGATTAAGAATGACATTAGAGAGTATTCTAACATTAGTGAAAATCTGCAACTTTAATGTGTACTCCTAAAAAAGATCTCAATGGTAAACATGCTGGAATACATACTATGTGTAATTATTATTGTGAAAGTGTGTTAGGGATGTGTTGTGGTTTTGGGTTGTTTTTTTGTAGCTTAATATTCAGAAGGAACAAATTGGTGTCACATAAACTTGTTTACATTGTAGTGTTGGCAAATACATTGGTATATACACACACCAGTGAGCCACATACTGTGCCACATACCACAGAGGCAGGCTGACAGACTACACTGAAAGAGTATCCATCAGGTATTTTTGACAAACCTCTGAACGTTTGTTTTACAGAGGAACCTGTTGGAAGAAGACTCAGATGAAGAGGAAGATTTCTTTTTGTGAGTAAATGTTACATCTTCACAGATATACTGTAGGTCGTAGTATGTGTATCTTGACTGGCCTGACTGCAGTCAAGATCAGCTCTCTGGAGCGTCATCATCAAGACAAGAAGAAGCTTTTAAAGGTGACCAAGAACTGTTGAGTAAAAGATGAGTAAAAAAAGTCTTGCTTAACTAACCAGTTTCTAAATCGTAAAAACAAGTTTAATCTATAAAAAAAAGAAATTACCTTGGAGTAAATCCTTCTCGGGGGCGACTTTTGAGGCAGTATTCTGCAGGTAGGATTTCAATTTTGGTTCAAATTAAAGGTGAAAACACTGGAAATCTGATGGGTTTACAAGCACTAACAAGTTGCATTTTAGGAAATTTATAGTTGGTGGAAATTCTTATTCTCCAAATGTAAATCCTTGGATACTGTATTTGAAACATTTCCTGTTAATTGGCAACTCTGTCATGTTTTTTTTATTTTTCCAGGCGAGGACCAACAGGGCCGAGGTTTGGAGCACAAAATGACAAAATCAAGCAGTAAGTACAAACATATTCCTTGTTACGACTAAAAGCCAGAGGTCAGGAACGTATTACCGGCCAGATCCATCATACTTTGTTTTGGTGTAGGTGTTACATAACCGTGCTTGTTCACATTTACCAGACGCTGTAGCTGTTAGCCAGTTGTGTAAGAGACACTCCAACATGTGCAGCACAGGTTATTGTGTAACCTTTGCAGGACATCACAGCCCTCTTTAGTCTGTTTCCATGTAAACATCCAGTTAAAGCCAGTCAGAGAACAGAGGAGGTCATTGTTGAGTGTCTGGAACCCAAAGTCTTTTTCCACACTCCCCTCATTCCTTAAACTTTGTCGTTGTTGTGAGCACATGAAACTCAATGCCAATCTTTACAGATTCCAAGAATGTCATGAGCACAGAACCCACGCCTCTCTGTGTCTGTCTGCCTGAACCTGAACCTGTGAGGTTCGGTACCATTAGATGTGTTTATGTGGTCAACAACTCACCACTTTTGATTAGATACAAATTACACATGTAGTTTGCGTTGACTTCATTGTGAAAGTATGCTGGAGCGCAGGTTGGTCTAGCAGTGGAAAATCACAGTGTTGTTTATTAGTGAGGGATGAGTCGTGAAAATTAACCAGTGATTGCATAATAGATTAACTTACCAGGTGCAGACGGATCACAGGGGCGTCGGTCAACCATCTGCATAACAACCTGCACGTCTTTTCAAACTTGTGTGAACAGGGTGCAGTCGCAGGTTGATGAGGTCATCGATGTGATGCAGGAGAACATCTCCAAAGTGATAGAGAGGGGCGAACGTCTCGATGACCTGCAGGACAAGTCAGGTCAGTCAGTGCGCAGTCATATGTGTTTGTGTACTGCACGTGTGACTGTATTGAATATTTGCATGCATTTTATTTTTATTAACACTTGCTGTAAGGATGTTTGCTCTTATCATACGATATAATGCAATATACTGTGTTACTATAAGCATGACGAGTTATTGAGTTTTTCTTTTTTTTTAAACAATTCAGTTACATGCTTAACATCAGGTTACCAAAATGTATCTAGATTTGTAATAACTAGAGAAGAAATATAAGCAAAATAAAATAAATCAACATGAATATTTGCATGGTAACTGTTAATAAAAAATCAATACAGTGCAATAGAATAGATACGGTATCGTAAAATAAAAATATCACAATATTACTGTGTATCAATATTTCCTTACACTCCTAGTTGTTAGCAGTTAACAGTTTTTGTTATAAAAATACTTCAGTATCTGGTTCTTCTTCAGAGTGCACCAACACAGTATATTCATCAGTCGGTCCAAAAACATTTAAACCCTCCAGTTCAGGATGGTTCCTGCAGGACTTTAGCGTTAGCGTGGTAGCAGCTGTTTATATACTCAGTGCCATTCCAGGGATGTAAATGTTACTTCCAGGTTCAGCGTTTTACCAGGTGGATTTCTTAAAGAAATTGTTTTGCAGTTTCATTCAAACATGTTTTCCCTAAGTTTATATAAAACAGTGTGTGAGATGTACTGTATCTACAGAGCTGGTACCTGGTACTTTGTATAGACGTGGCATGTGATGTATGGGAAGATAAAATATTATCAATGGATGGTCAGGATGTAGTCAGCTGACTTTGTTGAGATATTGCTGAACATAAAGTCTTAGCACTGCCCTCTGGAGGCCATACTCTTACTCACTACATGTCATTTGTTCTACTTGTGACGGATGTGTCGAGTAATGAGATAGAACTGAACGGAACCCATCACTTCAGCTAATATTATGGTGTTGGAACATGTTACTCTTCCTGACAGAACATGTCGAGAAGATTTACTCTTGTGGCCGATAAGTTGAAAAGTTAGACGTTAGATGATACAAGAACCCTGGCATTACCCCAAGACGATCACCGTTTTATACAGTTCACACTCATGTTAATGTTCAGACAGTGACGAGAACAGCGGAGACGGCAGCTGAACTTTTTGGCAGTTAGTGAGAGGATATTTTTTCTGTAATGTTACAAATGACGAAACAGAAATCGTGTTTTATATTCAAAGCCTGTTGGGTTTCAAAGTGGGGACATTGAACGCAGCAAAGACAGAGACAGAATACAGATTAGACCTAGTTGTTAAAAAATGAACTGAGAGTTTCAGTCTTCTACTGTAGCTTCAACGTCATATTGAAGAAATCTGAAGTACAAAGCAGAATCCCACCGCAGCCCCTGAAAAGATGTGTGTGTGTGTGTGTGAGAGAGAGAGTTTCAGGTGGTTCAGGTTTGAAGTTTTCCTCACAGGGAACAAAAGGAAGTTTTACTGCCATTTTCGTGAAGACTGAAAGATGTTTTCAATTTTAAATATTGTCTTTATTTGCCCCATAGTGAGGAATCTGCGCCGGTTTCTAGTTTCATTTCTAATGTTCAGGGAGAGAGTCGGACCAATGGTTGGGTTTTAAATACAGTTCAGTGGAGTTTAGAGCAAAACTCTCGACTTCAATTACTTAAATATTGTCCTTCAGGACCAGGTCAACCACTGGGCTTCAGCTCTTCTTTCTCGTGACAGTCCGTAGTCGATCGTTCACAGTGAATATATTCACACAGGTGTTGTGTATAACTGTTCATCACTCCTGTCATGTTCTCCAGCCGACTGAGACAATGCCACACATCTGGTGCACATCTGTCCTCGCACGTGTCTCCCTACAGTACATATACTCCCAAGCAGTAAACTCTATGTGAGTTTTTATAATTTCATGTGATTGACACTGGCCGTTTGGTCCGAGCCTCCCCCTGCAGGAAAGCGTTGTTAAATTCCACAAGATTAACGAGACTCATCTGGCTCGTTTTCTTTGTAGTAGCCACAGTCGTTAACGGGCACATGTATGTTGAAGCTGGACAGACAAAGAGAAGGCTCCGAGGAGGACGCGAGGTTTAGAAAGGGCGAGCATTGCATGCTGGGCCGTTGTTACCGTCCTGTTAACACGTGTAAACATCAAGTTAACGACAGCATCCAGGGAGTGAAGCCAGACCAGTGTTTGTGTGAGAGCAGTTTGAAACAACAGAACCAGGAGGGAGGACATGTGTTTTTGTTCCGCTCTGTATAATAGGCTTGGCAACAGGTCGTTCACCACGACATGTCAGAAGAGCTCAAACTGAACAAAGTCATTGTGGTCTCACCGGCGGAGCAGCAGGTCTTGCATAACTCACACGTTACAATAGCAAATGAAGAACACACAGTCAGTTTAACCAATCACAGCTCTTTAAAATCACAAAACCAAATGTAAGTTAATGTTTGCACTGATTTTGTTTTTTTCTTATTCTGCTCATGTTCTGGTCACGTGACGCTTCAGAGAGTTTATCGGACAACGCATCTGCCTTCAGTAGCCGTGCCAAACAGCTGCACCGGAGGATGTGGTGGAGAGACATGAAGGTGTGTATTTTTGTGTGTAACAGTTGTTTTTACACCTCATCAATTCTTCAGCTTTTTATTTTATTCGTTAGACTAAAAAACTGTAGTGGAGAGAGAAAGTAGCTAACGTTTAGTTTAACGACACAGAAGGGCTGTATTTGAACACATCACTTTTGTTTTCCTTCCTTGGTTTGGCATAGATAGATAGATGGATACAGTACTGTACAGTACTACAGTACTTGAAACTTGACTGGACTTGATGGACTATTCTCAGATCAGAGTTGCGTGCGGCCGTCATTTTTAAAAGGCTGCCTTTAATTTTAAGGAGCATTTGTGTCCAATGTACGTCTGTGTTTTTGTTTATCTGGTGGTCTCTCCTTTGTTTACATGATGTCGTTGTTGTGCGTTAACTGTTCCACAGATGAAGATGATCATTGCCTTGGTTGTAGTTGCTCTCCTGCTCATTATCATCAGTGAGTACGACACGACAACTCCTCTCTACTCTCATAAAGTCTGCGGTTCTGAACCTCCCTCATCAACCTCCTGTCTTCTTCTTCTTCTTCTTCTTCTTCTTCTTCTTCTTCTTCTCTGTAGTACCAGTCATCCTGCGATATCGTTAGACTCTGAAGAGGAAGAAGATCAGGAGGAGGAGGAGGATGGACACCACTACTCTTCTTCCTTTTTCTACCCACAGTCCTCCACTCCTGCTAGGGGTCGCCAGCCAACCTTCCACTTCACTTTAAGCCTTTATTCCGTCAAGGCTCTGGCTTCACATTATCCTTAGAGCAGATCTTACTGTAGTATTTACTACTTTAAACTGCTGTGAGATCAGTTCTAAGGTTCTGTTAGATGATGGGGGAACACAACACGGAACCATTTGGGAAATATTTGAGTGCATTTGGAGAGAACACGAAAACGCTAAGCCATCCAGTCAGAGCGGAGGATTTAATTTCATGATACATATCACATGTTAGGCCCTGGGTTTGTTTTTATTACGGGGGGGTGTAGTCAGGGGGTTGGGGGTGGGAGGGGGTCTGCAGATTACATCATAAAGACAAATACTGTAAAGACAGGCCGATCATGCCGACAGTGCATTTTGAGTTTAGCTGGTCTGACTCTGCTGCAGCAGCCTCATCAAAAGACGCTGTGAACAAATCCATAGATCAAACCCCACATGTCGACCCCCGAACCTCCCACCACCCCCACCTCACCTCTGAAACACAGATGGAACGTTTTGTGAGCAGAAGCACAGAAGCACACTTTGCCGTCAGGAAATAGTCAGGAACGCCCGGGGTCGGTCTGTGCAGACGACCGTAGCTTCTATCAATCATTAGAAATATCTGGTCGATGATAAAACTCTTACTTTATCAAAATTCTTCTCCAATTCTTTTCTGATAAGTGACGAATGGAAACACCATTTGTTCCGACAGCATCCTGCGTTCTGACAACGTGATCGACTCGTAATAAATTTCTCATTTCGCTCTTCCTGCTGGAGATTTGTTGTACTGCACATCAGGACCCATTCAAGCCAAAACCTCATGATGAATGTTCCTCCTCAGTCTATTCTCAGTCTCCTCAGTGGCCCTGAGCTCTGGGCCATACCTGTCTCAGTTCCCTTTTTTTTTTACATCCACATGCATTTTTCACAATACAGAGGCTTTCATTTAGCTTTTTCACTCACTCCCCTCATTCTTACCACACTTTTGTTACTCGGTCTGGTGCTTGTCTTGAATGCTGGTATTTCCATTTTTTTTATCTGACTGTATTTTCAGACCAATTTTAAAAACGGATAGTTTAAGGGATGCAAGAAAAAACTGTAAAAAAAAAAAAAATTAAACTGTGAAACATGGGCGTCATTGTGTCTGGAGGAGTCGAGTGTCTGACAGGCTTCACCTCTGCATTGTTGTCATTTTATTTTGTTTATGTAATTTATTTCAGCTGTAAATATTAATTCAGTAAAGATGTACAATATCCTGGCCTTGCATTGAAAAGTCGATATATTGATCATTTTTTGCTCCGAAATAAAGGTGATTTTAAAGTGCCTCTGTCTGGTTTGAAGCGGTTTGACTGAAACATGAAAGAATCTGTCAAAAAAACTTCAAAGGAACTGCGAGAAGAAAATGTGAGCTGATGGGACGACGGATGAGGTAAAGCAGGAAAAGCTAATTGTGGTGTCATCGGTCCAGTTTGGATCGCTGCGACTGTCAGTTCACTCTCCAAGCTCCTGAGCTTTCATTAACCGACTCCTTTATTGGTCTCTGATTTCACCCACAGTGTGGAGTCTCCAGATGGCACTAAAGTCAGAGGGACTGGAGACCGTGGAGCGTTATAGTTCTGACAGATGGGCTTCTATAGCCTGCAGTGAGCAGATGCAGATGCTGCCCTGCCTTAATATTCAGCTTTAAACTTTATTGATCAGTCACTGGTCGCCTTTCTGCTCCCACTCAATGCTAATGCACCAGACAGGGAGTGGTGGTTTTATTTCAGCTTTGAAGATTGACAGGTCATATATATCCTCCTCATTAATCTGACGGCTAGTTGGTGAAGGGGTTCTGCTGTTTTCACTGAGTCAGAGTGGTAGACATAAGGAGGTTGATGGACAACCCTTTTCTCAGTTTCATCCACATTATAAATAGATGTGAGAAGACGATTCATTTAACCACAGACGTTTCTGCGTGAGAAGCCCAGTATTAGGTTTGTTTTCTGGATTATATTTCAATTGAGAAAAAAAATAACCATGTTCTGTCAGGACCCTTGCACTCTTATTGCTTATTACTAACCAAAGCAAGCACCACGACCAGCATCTTTATTATCAGTCCAGCTTTAGTGGCTGTAGAATGTTACAGGTGCCTCTGGAAACTCATTTTCTCTCATTAAAAAAACCCAGGAGCAAAAGTTGAGGTTTGTTTTTGTGTCAGGACTTTGTTTAAAATCCAGGGGAAAGAATTCAGTTTATGTTACACCGTGCTGTATTTTTGTGCGCATGCAGCCATTTTTATCCTTCTGGCTTTGCTGACACACCCACACTGGCAGCGGAGGATGTTTTGATCCTGTGGTAGAAACTCATCCCGGATGACATCAGATTCCAGACATAACAGCGCTTATGTGAGTCATATTAAAGTCATATAATAGACATATTAAACTCACAACCAAGAAGGGTGGTCGGCCGTGCCAACTGGCATTAGTCTGAGTCAGGGTGAGATGCAGAGGAAGTCAGGAATAAATCTCCAGACCGGTCACATATGAGAGTTCCATTGAGTGAAACGTTTAAACCCTTGATCTTTTCCCAGCTCCTCTCTTCACTTCTCCTACTTTGATTGTTTTGTTTCCACCCGTGGTCCCTACAGTCTGTCTGTTGGCATGTGCTTTCTATTATATTTGTTTATTCCTCTTTTTTTTTTTGTAATAAATGACGACAGACCCCATACAAAGAACAACTAATCATACATAGTAACGCAGTCAAAGTCCCAAAGCAGTTGCTCTGTTCATCTTCACTTCAAGTTCCCCGTCAGACACAGAACCGTATGTTCTTTTATGTTCCGCAGCAGTGGAACCTCTTCTTCCATCCTCTACGACCTCTATATTCCATCAGAGAATTTTCTCTGAATTTTTTTTTTTCTCCATGGTAGCTCACATCTCCACTATCACAAGTCCAAACCTTATCTCCAAACTATTCAACCTGATCCTCTGATCTGTTATCAGGCTCATTTCCAGTGACCAAGTTTAGCACTTTCTCTGTCCATCTGCAGCTCAGCCGTGTGTCTTATAAATAACCGCTGCCTCCAAACAAAACATTCAGAACTTTGTGTTTTACTCTTACCTCCATCTTTCTGTCACCGTCCTCCTGACACTCATCATCTTCATCATTGTCCTTTACTTTGCATGGTTGGTCTCTTGCATCTTCTTCACCACCTTGAATCTCTCCATCCACGTCCATGTATTCTGTTCATAAGGAAAGTAAAGTCATACATTGTTTTGTAATGTCAAATGTAAAGTAACTGTAGTTAAACAAGTTCATTCAAATACACATTTAACCATATGTGTAATGATCTTAAATAACAATATTTTTTAAATGTAATTTAAGGTCCTAAATTAGGAGAAACTGTTACATTCAGTGGAACAAGGAAACAGGCTGGACCCAAACGCAGCACTCGAGAGCAAGAAGTTTATTCAACAGTCCAAACTTAAATGATCAGGCAGGTAATCCAGGATTACTCACACAAACTAGAACCAGGGCAGGAACAAGGAACAGGAATCTCACAAACGCAGGTGTAAGGAACATAAAACAGGAGACAACAACCTGCACTGACCACTGACCAAACCATGAAGAGTGTACCATGACCAGACCAGGCCAGGTGACGCGAGTGAGACTGATGAACTGGTGATCACAGGACACAGGTGAGGGTGATGACACTGACAGAAAGAAAGTCTTGGACCCTGACTTTATACTTTGACTAGTTCCATGTTCCATCTGACCACAGGTTTTCTTCTATTCTGTAAAGAGAAAGTCCAATATCTGAACAACATTTCAGACATTAACAAATCCACATTTGAACCTCTGACACTGTTCACTTTCCTTCTGTTTGTTTTTGTGGATAAAATGTCACCTGTGAGTGAACGTGCCCAGATTTCCAACATCATTTCAGTCAGAGCTTTGGGAGGACAGCTGTCCCTCTGCCCCACAGAGGTTGAAGAAGATGATGTTTGAAGAAGAAAAGTGAGGAGAGATGAGAGAGGGAAGGGCGGGATGTTAGTGTAAGCTGAGAGCTCTGAGGGTGAGGAAGTGTCAGTGTTTACACACATGCCCCGCTCTACGGGCATCTTTTTTCTAAATTCTAACTGTTATATTCTGGATCTCTAAAAATAAGAGAGTGCTCGTGGACATATTAGATAACTGAAGACATCACTGGCTGTGGTTTCGGGTGTTGTATTATAGGAATACGTCTAGAGAGACAGGATGGGAGTCTGCAAATTCAAATATCTCACTGATGGTTAATATTAAAAAATGAGTAGAGAAAATATTAACAACCAAGAATCAGGTCATCAGTGGGTCCACACAGGTGCGAGGTTATCGATGAACCTGTCCTATTGACGACCTATTTGGCTGCTTGCGTCACTCTCAGGCCCCCTACCAATCTGAAACAGGACACCGGCTCCTGGGGAGGTAATGGTATCCACTGAGGCCCAACTCTGTGAACCACTGTGAACCACGCTGGGCACAAAACCTCCTGAACCTCCTGAGACACGTGGGATTGTGGATGTATGGCCATGTTTTTGATAGTAGAAGAAAAGTGAAGTCGGATGTTAGAAATAAAATCTTGTACTGGAGAAAAACAACAACTAGTCAAACACACTCAGAAATTGGTTCAAAAAAGAATCTTTCTAAACTCCAACACACACACACACACACACACACACACACACACATATTTGCCACTGCCCCCCTCTCTCCCCCCTCTCTTCCTCTTCTCTAGAAGAAAAGTGAAGTCGGATGTTAGAAATAAAATCTTGTACTGGAGAAAAACAACAACTAGTCAAACACACTCAGAAATTGGTTCAAAAAAGAATCTTTCTAAACTCCAACACACACACACACACACACACACACACACACACAAATTTGCCACTGATCCCCTCCCTCTCCCCACTCTTCCACTTTTCTCTCCTCCCTCCCTCTCACATCTCCTCTCTTCCCTCCTTCCGTCCCCTTCAGATTGTATAAATATCTGTGAGCCGTTGAGCAGAGCTCAGTGTTACAGACCTGTCCACTTAGAGAGAGCCAGGGGGAGAAAATAATAAGAGGGTGAGAGAATCCTGACCAGTGTTACATCCATTCAAGTAACACCTGTTACTCAAGACTTTCCTGCGGCAAACACTTTAGAGAAGTTCTAAACTCCCAGGATGTTGTCCCTGCTCCTGCTGCTCCTGCTGGGTCTCCTGCTGCGCAGTGATGCCCAGGACAGAGCCTCTCTGTGGAGGGGAAACGACCGGAGCGGACGATGTCAGTACACCTTCACCGTCCCCAGCCCCGTGGAGTCCAGCTGTCCACAGACCGGGGGCGTAGAAATGGAGGGTCTGAAGACCAGACTCAGTTTGCTGGAGGCGATGGTGAGCCAGCTGACAGGAAGAGAGACTGGAGGTCCCCAGGCGGTCGGAGCCAGAGCTCAACCTGAGCTTCAGGAGGCGCTGAACCGGGGGCTGGGGGAGAGGAACCTGCTGCAGGGAGAGAAGGAGCGGCTAGAGAGGGAGCTCAGGGGGCTTCAGCAACGCATGGAGGAGATGAGGAGGGAGATGGAGAAGCTGAGGAACAGACCCTGTCCTCCCGTGGTGCCACCTAGCCCCCCGCTGCAGAACAGTGGCTTGATGAGACCTGCTGGGGGTAAGAGATGACCTCAGACCTCCACAGACTCTTAAACTGAAAAATATGCAAAATTCCACATTTTGTACACAAAGTTGTAGAACTTCCAAATAAGCGTCAGACTTAATGGTGACATGTGAATGTGGCTCTGGTTATGGGTTACTTGAGGCAGTAAAGTGATGACATAATTATGTCATGTATGTATGGAATACCATCCATTACCAGGCTGTGACACATGCCAGGGCATCATGAGTGTGTGTCTACAGCAGTGAAGTTCAACATCTACACTCCACATTAGACTGGAGACAAAGGGGATTCTGTCATGGTGTGTACGTGTTTGTATGTGGCACTCGTGTGCCGAATGACTTGGCTGCCATATTAGTCTGTAAAGGCACTTGTCTTGGGTTTCCCTCCTTCCCGTTTCCTGTCTACATTTAGCGACGTTACAGAGAGTTGGCTCAGTATTTATGAGCAGATCCTGCTCTGTTTATGAGCGGTGTTTCCCTCCCCGCGCGTCGAGCAGGGTGACAAAAGTCAGACCGGGGAGGGCGGGAGGTGGCTGAAATGCGATGCGCGCTTAGGAAGAGGCGATGATTCCTTCCCAAGGTCTCGTCCCGGGGCTTGTGATGACGCCGTGTGGGTCAAGACTTGTGGAAGTGGGAGGGGGGCTGTGAAGGAGTCCTCCAGTCTAAGAACACTACACCTCCAGGGGTTCCAAAGAAATTGGAATTTATCTGGGAGCCACGTAAGGTTAAGCCTTGGTATTTGGAGTGTTTGCCAAGTCCAAACAACCGTCTAATTAGACCCAGAGCTCATAATTTCAGCCAGCGCCTCCTGTTGGACACCATCCCCATTCTATTCTCTCTTTGACCTCTTGGCCTTTGGGGTATATTGCTTGTAAAGCGGAGATTGCCAGCAGCAGTAAATCCTTCTGTACCAACAGCCAGCTCTCTCTGTGCTGGGAGGACATAGATACTGCATGTATCTGTACTCCAGGTTCTCTGCTCAGCTCCTCAGGTTTACTCCTGCTGCAGAAATACACAGACTAGTCCTCTCTGGGCGACAGACAGATGTGGAATAAACCATATGGAAAGGAATAAACTCTGTGGGGGGTTTTATCTTTCAGATTCACACCATTGTTGAAGTAATCAGTCATTGTTGTCTTGACTAATACTTGACTCCAAATCTCACAAACATGATTCCAATATGGTATTAATGACATTTTGAAGGAACATTGTGCCATTGGGCAAAGAAAAGGAGTTTTGTAATTTGCACATTTGAAGATACTTCATTTTAATGACAGAGAACTGACATTGAACCTGGAACCAATTAGCGTCAGTTCACCGAGGCATGCTAACTGTGAAGGCAGCAGTCGACATGAAGAAATCTGAAGAGATGTTTCAATCACAGGAGGTATAAAACCTCACTCTTTCACCAACTTGTTGACCCTTAATTATATGACCAATCAGAAAGAGCAGAGGCTGACCACATATGGCACACACACACACACACCAAAAACCCTGACCTCAGCCCCACATTCTTCAGTTTTGCTAAACATCCTCCTGTTTAGAACGTACCGACCTCTTGGTACCTTTCATCAACGGTGCACATCAGCAGCAGCAGCCACCACATGCTAACGTTTGTTGCTTTCTGCATCATTAGAGCTTGTTACATGTCTGCAATCACTCAGTGCTGCACACGCAGGAGCCCAGCAGGTACTGCACGTCCTCAGGTGATAGAAAAAGTAGACAAAGTAGTTGTCACCATGAAGTATTATTTAAGTTTGTACTCCTTGAGCTGTCAAACAGTTTGACAATGAGGAGAGGACTGGGGAGGAGAGCAGAGGAGAGGACAGGAGAGGAGAGCAGTGGAGAGGAGAGGAGAGGCGGGGGGAGGAGGGGAGGGGGGGGGGGGGGGGGAGAGGAGAGGAGGGAAGAGAAGAGGAGAGGAGAGGCGGGGGGAGGAGGGGAGGGGGGGGGGGGGGGGGGAGGAGGGGGGAGGAGAGCAGAGGAGAGGCGAGGAGAGGAGGGAAGAGGAGAGGAGGGGAGGGGAGGGGGGGGGGGGGGAGGGGGAGGGAGGAGAGGAGGGGGGGGGAGAGGAGAGGGGAGGAGGGGAGGGGGGGGGAGAGGAGGAGAGGAGAGGAGAGCAGGGGAGAGAGGAGGAGAGGAGGGGGGAGGCGGGGAGAGGCGCGGCGAGGGGAGCGGGGGGGGGGGGGGGAGAGGAGAGCAGAGGAGAGGACGGAAGAGGAGAGGAGAGAGAGGAGAGGAGAGGAAGAGGAGGAGTCTGACAGTAACACACACGGTGAGAGGAGCCGGAGGGTTTGTTTGAAGTTTTGACGTTGTGACGTTGACAGTGTTGCAGTAGGATGGGGTTTCAAGTGTGTCGTATGAGTGTTACCGTCGGTCAGGCTACCGACTGTCTGACTCCAGAGCAGCTGGGAATTCAGTCCAAGGTATTTGTCTCTTGCTGTCCCATTTCCTGTAGTCACAACTGTCACATCCACACTGGGGTGAAAACTGTCAAAGGTAAATAGCAATAAAGGAACTCTGTTTGTCTGTGTGTGTGTGTGTGTGTGTTAAGGCTCCACCCTGTTGACCAGGCCCAACAGACAGGGAGACAGCAGCAGCAGCAGCAGCTTCAGAGGTGGGATATATTTTATTTTCTGAAAAACCACCTTCATTTACTGTTTTCTTTTTTTTTATTCCTCCTCTCTCGTCTCTTCTCTTCCTGTCTCAGACTCGGCGTGGCAGTACGGACATCCAGGTTTCCAGGAGCTTAAGGCTGAGGTGACCGAGGTACCTGCTCCTGACGGCTCCAACAACAACAACACAGGTCTTTGTCTAGGATTCACCCCAATATAAATATAATATTTGATTTACCCGATAGCATACGGCTAAAGAGAACCAAAGGCCTTTGTCTGCAAAAACACCAGCCCAGCTCATCTAACCCTCTAGAAAAACAGGACTCAGACAAAACTACTTTATAAAATAGATCAGATGAATGATTCGATCCAGGCCTCACATAAACCACAAATGTGTTGCTATGTAGTCCACTTCATCACTTTATTACATAGAGTTTTATTTCATGTCACTCAAGCATCCAGTTATTGTTGACAGCTCGATCACACATCGCTAAAGTTAGAAAAGGTTAAAGAACCTCCAAACAACACCAAAAAAACCCTCTTGCGACCCACCTGAGGGTCGCGACGCCGTCTTGGAGAAACAATGCTCTAAATCACACAGCTTACGACCACGTAAGTTAGTGGTGATAAGGCAAAAAGCATTAGCGTTGTCAACCAAATGTTAACTGAAGAAAAAAAGTGACTTCCACACCTGAGTATGTCGAGTGTAAAAAGGCCAGGGCCGTAAAGAACAGGTGATTTAAGGCTGATCCTCTAAAATCCAGTCTTGCCAAGTCGTAAGTCTCCCACTCTTTCACCCCCACACCTTAACCCCCAGGTCCATTTGACCTGAAAACATGACACTCACCCCCCCTGCTGACAGCCTCAAAGCAAATACTGCTATTAATACTGCGGCGTTTGGAAGCAGCAGACCAGAGTCATGCCAGTGTAGAGCCATGAGGGGCCCCTGTTGAGTTTGGACTTTGGCTCGTTAATGGAAATGTAATGAAATGACAAATGAGGACGTCACCTCCTCAGACTTTATCAGGCTTCATGAAGCCCACTGAATGGCGGCACAGATTGGACTGACTGGCAGCCGTAACTACAGGACGAGCCGTAATAAGTGACATGTATCAGTGAATTACATGACTAACAGATGACCCCTCAACTCGCCCCTCCTTTTCCCAAGTGCGTCAGGAAACCACGGCGGCCTCTGCATACCAGCAAATGTTTAAAGACCCTTTGACTCTCCCCTTTTTGACGTTTGCTCCTTTTGTCCCACAGCTTTATACATTAGTTTTACGGGGGCAGAGTTTGCCCAGAAAGCACAACAACAATCGCTATGGAAACACAGCCTTACTTTCGCGACATGTTTATGAGCCAATAAAAATTCATCAAAGCCTCTTAAATGTCACTGAGTGAACCTTAAAGAGCACATGGCGTGTACACGTGAAGTCACATAATCTGTAATGAGACCATGCCACACAGGAGCTACAGGGTAATAGGGGTATTTATAAAACATATTCCTATCTAACCCTAAATCTGGTGCTGCGTCCTGGACCTGTGAGCAAGGTGTATTTTAGGAAGTGGTAAATATACAGCAGGCCTTATCGTCTTCCCAGTGAGAGAGTTTCTTTAGACAGGATGAGCCGGTGTTCAACAGCTGCCATGCTGGTTTGGACTTGGGGCCACAGAGGTGTCAATCACCGTCTCAGAGCTAATTTTCTGTCATGCTAAGAAATAATGTTTTCACCACACATTCCACCGACCCACAGAGCACATTCTTACTCCCTCGATCACAGGCATGTCGCGGGGCTCTCAATTTTTTCCCTAAGCTTTATGTTTATCCCCACATAATTTGTCATATCTAAATCTTAAAACCATGAATGCTGTTTTTGCATGGATGACACAAAGAAAATTGCTTTAATTAAAGTAACAAACCAACATTTGAGACCATTATTAGCTAACATAATCATTAATGTATCTAATTGTTGCATGTACCATCGCTGAGATAAAAGAGTGTGGTTTCTCTCCTGCTCCGTGCTCACAGGTTGTGGAGAGTTAGTATCAGTTGGTGAGCCAGTCACTCACAGGAAGGCTGACAACATAGCAGGTAAATATGGGGTCTGGATGCAGGACCCTGAGGCCGTTTCCCCCTACGGACCCAACATGGTGTGGCGCATCGATACTGTTGGGACTGACGTGAGGCAGCTGTTTGGGTATGAAGACATGGAACAACTCTCAAAAGGCTTTCCATCTAAGGCAGGTGTCTGCATATTCTGTCAGAAATGGTGAAAAAATATTGGGTGACTTTTGTTAATCTTTTTTCCTCTTACAGGTGCTGCTGTTGCCAGAGTTGGTAGAAAGCACCGGTGCCACCATTTATCGCGGCTCTCTCTACTATCAGAGGCGCCGTAGTCGCACGCTCATCCGCTATGACCTTTCTTCTGAAAGCACTGCTGCCAGACGTGATCTTCCCCACGCTGGATTCCACGGCCAGTATCCTTACTCCTGGGGAGGCTATACTGACATTGATTTGTCCGCGGACCAGCAGGGACTGTGGGCCGTCTACTCCACCAGCAAAGCCAAAGGTGCCATAGTCATCTCACAGCTTGATCCCAACACACTGGAAGTGAGGAGAAGCTGGGAGACCAACATCAGGAAGAGCTCCGTGGCCAACTCCTTCATCGTTTGTGGAAGGATGTACACCATAGCCAGCTATTCCGCCTCCAACACCATCATCAACTACATGTACGACACTGCCACCAGCCAGGGGAAGGCCGTGTCCATCCCCTTCAGGAACAAGTACCAGTACAACTCCATGGTTGACTACAACCCAACTCAGAGGAAGCTGTTTGCTTGGGACAACTTCCACCTAGTGTCCTACGACCTCAGGTTAGGCCGCAGGCAGGCCAACTGAGGCCAGAATTATGACTGTTAATAAGTGACCTGTTCCTGCTTCAAAGACTCACTGACAAAGATATGTGTTAGAAATAGTTCAAAGGCTTCCACCATCAGTCAAAACGCAAAGAAAACTGTTTGAGGAACAGTGTCAGCTATGAGTTTTCTAGGTCAGAGAACTGTTTTGTTTTATTATTTTTTTTTGTGGCCCAGTCCACAAACAAGTTTGTAGAGGAATTATTTTTGTACTGCCTTTAACACAGATGTATTATCATTTTGTTTTACGTCGAGCTATAAATGAGTTCTAAAATTTAAACATAGTTCACAGCATAGACTCTTGTGGTATAACATGCTACTGCATCTCGCTGATCGTGTTTTTAATCATGTTTTTTCTCACTCAGCATGTTATGCATAATACTGCATGTACTTCTACACTGTAGTCAGCACTACTGGTGTTCGAAAGTCAAATAAAATAAACTTGGTCAACTACACTTTCATTTGGCTTATTTTGAATTGTGCACCTAAAAAAAGCAGACTCGGCCTCACAAATGAATGGGTTAGGATGATGATTAGGCTTCCCTAGCGGCGAGTGACAGAATCTCAGTTATCAAGAAAGTGACTTTAATGAAACAGTTTCAACTCAATTCAAAATGGCACTACACATCAAAGTACTTACAAACATCAGGTTATCTGAATGTGTAATTGGAATTACTCCCAAGTGGCCATAGTGACCTGGCCTAGTGATCATGTGCATGTTTTTTTTTTTTTACTGAGGACATTAGAGAAACATCTCCAAATTAAAGTCAAGTCAACACAGACATTAACAGTATATTATTTTTATTAGTTTCTGTAACCAAACCAAGAGAATGTAAATAAGACCGTACATCTTTAATACAGCGATGAAACCCCTGTACAAGTACAACAAAAAAATAAAACAAAAGAATAATCCCCACCCTCCCTCATCCATTATCCACTGTAAAGGTTAGAAGAGGGGAGGATGTCCTCCGCACCTCAGGGTGCAAACCGTTGTACACGTCTGAGAAACCCTTTTAAACCACAACCCTGAGGTGAGAGCATTTTGGGTGGGACAGCCAACGGAGGTGAAGCAGAGACTGAAAACAGCACTGATTGCTCTCAACAGTATAGACATCAAAACAGTAAGTGTCCTTCTAACCATTCTTTTCTTCGTCTGTCCTGCTCTGGTTCCCCCTAGTGGAGGCTGACACACACGCACACTGAAAGGTTTTCTGACATTCAATTCCTTACAGTTAAAACTCCTCAAAATAGCCCTCGCCTGCTATTTTTGGCTAAGGGCACTGGAATCAGTCAAAAGCAGCAAGTGTGGGTGCTTTACAGTTACCTGTGTGTGTGTGTGTTTGTGTGACAGCTAAGTGGGTGTAAAAATCAGTGAAAGTGTGTAAACCTGCACTAGCTGCTATGTAGTGATCACATGTAGGTAATCCTATCAGTCAAATTTCAAAACCCTGCCGCCACAGCAACAGCTATTAAAAAAAGAGCTGTGACATTTCTGCGCTGCTTTTACCTTTGGGTAAGTATACAGGAGAGCCCAGCTGTGAGCTACCGTCTGTACACTGCACACACTACACACACAACTTCAACACATCACTTATTCTCAGGCAAAGAGAGCAGAAGGCAGGAGCTAAGGCTCACAGGCAGACTTATCCATAAATCATTCATTTTCATCCAAATGCTGACATTTTCACATTTTCATTTTGGTTAAAATAAAATAACAGAATTTCTGATTCCACCTCTCCGTGGGATAACCGCTTACGAAACCATAAAGAGTGCATGTGCATGAGCACAGACCTCTACATCAGTGAGGGTAGGACACATGAAACAAGTTTGCTTCACTACATATACTCGTGATTGTTTTGACTACAAAAACAAATCTGGTTCACTCTTCCTTTAACAAAAGTGTTTTTTTCTTCCTTTTCATGAGCATGATCCTATTTAGGGACAAAAGAAATTAAAAGGAACAGAAATAAAGATCTTTAAAAGTGGCAAACTCAGCAGCAAATCTTATTGTGATTTTTCTCTCGCCAACATAAATCTACTATCAGTGTAGATTCCTAAGGAACATCTTGTGCAGCCATTAATCAGCATCTAAATATGATGAAAGAATTTAAATCAAACGCACACCCCTCTCCCCCACCCCTCAGTGGGCTAGGAACACGGAAGAAAGGAAGAGGACTTGATGCATATATGAATGTGTAGGACAGCGCCTACTCTCAGTAACCAACAGGATTGTGACTTCTTCCCTACTCTTCCTCCTCCCCACACCGTCCCCCTGGGAATGATATGACCGAGTGTATGGGGCTATTTTCTCTCTTCCATCCATGTGCATCTCCATCTGAAGATCGTCTCCAGCTCTTTACTTGCTCTCTTCTGGTTTGATGGCCTGTGGTTTTATTGGGCCAGTTCTGATGGGCTTAGCCGTAGAGACGGGGGGTTTGTCAGAATCTGGGCGATCACCTCCCGCCTGATGGTTTGTTGTGGCCGAGGCGTCGAGGGAGGGTTTCCCCCCCTGATCGAGCCGAGTCGCCTTGTTTACTTGTGGAGGCTTGAGCTGCTGCTGCTGCTCTGAGAAGAACTTGTGAGTGGACTGCAGCACTTCAGCTCTCTGCTTTGCCTATAGAGAGAAATAAAAGATGAGCAGAGCTAAAACAATCAGCAAAAATCAGTCAGATTACTGGAATGGCCTGCAATAAAATAATGATAACAATAGAGAACAACCTTTAAATCCTGTTCAGCTTTTAGAGAAGACTGTGTGCCTCTAGGTACAATAGAAGGACCAGAGGGTCCACGCAGAGGATGTTGGCTGTGCTGGCTGTGCTGGCTGTGCTGGGGGTGCTGAGGGTGCTGGGGATGCTGGGGGTGCTGAGGGTGCTGAGGGTGCTGTGGGTGCTGTGGGCGGGGATGAGGCATCAGACCACCCCCCATATTGGGTGATATTGGGG